TTTGATCGCATGACCCTGGGGATGCTGCAGCGGTGTGGGAAATGCCCCCCCCTTTCCCCTCCCCCCCAGTGCCATGGTAACTTATGGTCACTAAACAAACTGTTGTAAGTCGAGGACTACCTGCGCTTCCTATTCCTGGGTCCTTTTCCTCCCCATCCACCTGCCTTTCCCTTCAGGTAAGCAGAGGTTGCCCTAAAGCCTCAGCTCTCTCTCTTTGCCTTCTCAGATGGACCTGGGCATTCTGGAAAGCCGGGTTGAGCAGCGGAGGCTGGCCATGGAAGAGGAAAAAGCCCAGGCCAAGGGCCTCGTGCCAGACGGAACGCCCCATCTCTCGGTGTCCGGTTTTTCTCCCGTCCCCAAACCAGGTGGGTGTCCCTTGCATTAGAACAGGGGTCCCCAAACTTGACAACTTTTAAGACTTGTGGGCTTCAGCTCCCAGGTGTCTCCAGCCAGCTTGGCCTAGACTTCAACTCTGTACCCGCTTACTCTCTTGCAATCCCTTCCTATGCAATCTCTCCACGCTAGGGAGTAGGAGAAAACAAAAAAAAAACCAAAAACCCAACAGGCAAAGTTGTGCGGGGAATTCTGGGAGTTGAAGTCCACGAGTCTTCAAAGTTGCCAAGTTGTTTGGTGAGAATAACAAGTTTGTCTTAGAATAACTTTATCGTCACTTTGAACAATCAAGGAAACTACCCCAATCAAGAAACTGCCAAAGAGCCCTCAGTAAACAGCCCAACCAAAGAATTTCAATTGTCCCCACCCACCCACACAGACAGACAAGACACCAGAACATAAATTGAGAGCTAATCCCATTTCTTAGCAACGCTGATGACGTTACCTAGTTGGGTCACAAAACGTCTGGAAAAAAAACAAGCTCCAGAGAGCGACTTCCATTCAACCCTGAGCTACAAATATTCTTTTTTATTAGTTCTATTTTGAAGTGCCTCTTTTTTGACCTTGCCGTTCTCTCTCGACATGCTGAATTTGACTGAGTAGATGTTGGAGGGTTTATAGAACAGAATCCTGACTGGATTTGGGTCACAGGACCTTTCTTGTTTTTGGATTCCCGGGGATTCTTTTATTTTCCTGCCCCGTAGCCCCAAAATCGAGCAGCGCTTGCCCACGTTTGGAGCGTTCCCGGATTGGCTGCGTTTCCTGACCTTCTGTCGGTTTTCCCTCTCTAGAATCGCCCAAAGACACCAAAGGCAGCATTAAGCCTTCTCCGCTGGCTGCGCAGGTGGTCAAAAACGCCAAGAGGAAGACCGAAGGGATGAAGAGATTGAGGTCAAAAAGTCCGATTAATGGGTAAGGTTTGGGGCTGGAGGCTCTCCTGTGCAGAACGGGAGTCGTATTTGGGAGGGGTCCTCCGTTCCCCCCCCCCCACTCCCCAGTTTGGATCCAGATACTTTCCTCTCTCTGTCCCATGCAATCTTTCCCAACCTGGGCCACTCTCAAGATGTCTGAACTTCAACTCCCAGAATTCCCTGGCCAACCATGGGGAATTCTGGGAGTTGAAGTCCACACTCTCAACTCATAAAATATTTCTCTGGTCTTTTTAGAGTTGCCAACAGAAAGGGAGGGGGGAGCAGTGCAGCAGCTTGCAAACCGAAAGTGCATTCCATAAATGTTTTCAAAAATAGTAACTAGGCGACTGAAGTTTCTGCCCCGCAGAAGTCTAACTGGAGAGCCTGATTGATGACTCTGGGCTATGGATGTGTCCCATTGGAGGATATGATTTATGACACACCCAGGGGGTGGGGGGAAAACCAGGGTCAAGGGTGACAATGAATTGTGTGTCTCAAGAATCGGCTACACCCAGGCAGTGCCGGACATGTTAACTCCCAATAAACCCTTTTGAAGTTTTGGAAGTTTGGCTCAAGACTCATGATTTAATTGGGGGAACTGCTGGCTGCCGGAATCCTGATGCACACCCCTTAAAGGAGCCCAGGTTGGGGGAACCTTGCTGTAGTGAGACCCTATTTTTAAGGTTACCCTCTGCCGTGAAAGTTCATTGTATACCTGTGCAAGAAGAAGAAGGATAGAAAAAGAAAGAAAGGAAACGTATCCACACTTCCCTTATTCTTTGAATTTGCAGGGTTCAGAAAGGCCGCGACAGCAGGAGTCGCAGTCGAAGCAGAGAGCAGAGCTATTCTCGATCCACGTCGCACTCCCCTTCCCCCAAAAAGAGGTAAGCTGCCAAAAGCCGCGAGCGTTGGTTCTGCTGGTAGTTGCTTTTAGCGATGACAACAATCGAAAGGGTCTTTTTAAATAAAAGTTTCGAGCTGTATTAACCCGGGGAACGGAAAGCCACTCCCTGACTGGTCCCCGTTCTTCTCCACCGTCCGATTCTGCTTCCGCCTGCACAGGCTGCCGGTGAGCCACAACATAGCCAGGCAAATTGTTCAAAGTTTAAAATACGCCCCTGGCGGGGACAACGACAGGTAACCTGTCTTCTTCTTCTTCTTCTCCCCTTTCCCCTCCAGGAAAAGTGAAAGCTATTCCACCTCCAGCTGCTCCAAGTCGCACAGCCGTTCGAGGAGCCGCAGCGATTCGCCTCCCCGCCAGTTCGGCCACACGGCCTCCTCCGGTTACCAAAGCTCCAAGCTGCGAAACTACAAGAAGGAGAAGGAATACAAGTACGGCTCTCCCAAAGCCCGGCGGTCCCGCAGCCGCAGCTCCTCGAGGTCCCGCAGTCGTTCGCGGGAACGCTCTGAGCACACCGGCAAGTACCGGAAGAAGAGCCACTACTGCAGGGATCAAAGGCCCGAGCGGCACCACCCATACGACAGGCCGAGCCATCACTACGATAGAGATCACCCCGGCCACAGCCGACACCGGAGATGAAGTCAAGACATCACAGCCAAAGCTCTCTAGACTCTCCCGGCCTCAGCCAAGCCCTTCTCTTGCCTAAGGCCGGACGCTGGAGCCTTACATACATCTTCACTCAAGGGCATGGACCTTGCACGGGCAAACGAGGAGGGTTGAGGCGGGACCCTCTTTGGCTGCTTCTACCCTTGTCTCGATATAGGGCTGTTCCTTGTCTGCTGGATTTTGTGTCTGCTTCCTGCTGGTGTGATGTCCCTTTGAGCTGTCCAAGCGGGATTGTGGCCTGCGTCGGATCCTATGGAGGGAAACCTCAGGACACTGTTCAGAGGGTTGAGATTCCCTTTCTTCCCCCTTCTTCCCAACTTTTTTATAAAATATTCCTTTCTCTCTCACCACAGAGGATCTTGGAAGGTCAAACACCACCGCCGCCACCCAAAAACAAACCCCCCAAACAAACCATTTTTTGCTTGGTGCTAACAGCATTTTCCTTTCTCTCTTTTTTTTTCCCCGTTCTCTTTTTTTTTCTTTTCTTACAGTGAACCTGTTTGCATTGTTCTTACAGAAAAGGCGATTTCCGGATTCTTAAAATCTAGTGCCTATATTAGGCAGTCTCTGAGGGAAGAAGCATCTGATGAAGACATGGGAAGGATGGAGGAAAAGCTTTAACCCTTTCAAAGTGCAAATCTGTTTCAAGTAATTTTTGGAACTAGGAACCCGCATCCTGAGAATGCAAATGTTTTATGTTCCTTAACTGGAGGTTTCTCTCTCTCTCTCTTCCCCCCCCTCTCCCTCCCCAGGCCTACTACTACTTATTGTTATTATTATTTTTTATCCCCAGCAGAAAGAACAATGGAATAGTATTTAAATTCCACCTGTTGAAAGTGGGTTTTTTTAAAAAGAAAAAAAAAATCCTGGTGCTGGCCACCAATTCAAAGCTGAGGATGATTTCATAGAGCTTAACCTTTTACGTGGTTTAATTAAATAAAAAATTTACTCAGGATCTTTTCAAAAAGTCTGAAGAAATGATTGTTTTTGTCTGTTCTTAGCTTGCTGAAGAAAAAGTGTTTATATTAAGAGAGAAATGTGTGCAGCACAAGAATATCCGTTTTAGTGGTATATCTGAGCTGTCTTCCTGTTCCTTAATTTCATTAAAGTATTTGATTTTGTATTTAAATGGTTGGACTCAGACTCTTCACCCTGTGTTGAATGGCTGTTTCGGTTTTGGACACCTTTTCTTTCTCTCCAATATAACAGTGCACTTTGCCTTAAATGTTTCATTATCAAAAAAACTCCACACTCTGAATGGTTTTTCTGCACAAAGCACACAACAGTTCATAACAGGTAGTTGGTCTTGGCTGATGCCAAAAACTAAACAAGTGGTTTGGTTTTATTTTTACTTTTTTTTATACTGTTGACGATGAGACCTGTGTGAACGGAGCGAAGGCCAGGAAGAAGAAGAGCCGTCGTTGAGGGAAAAGATAGAAGAACGAGAGTTTAGTGTTGTGTGTGAAGTTGGCGTGACACCTTCCAGACATTTTGGTGGAAAAATTGCCCTACAATAGCCCAGTGGGATAACAGCCTTTTTGAAAATATACAGGCCATTTCCAAGCAGCCGGCCAGACATCTTCGGCACTTTGAAGATGAAACTCAACCTCAAGATTCTTGGCTGGAGCAGACAGTGTGAAAATAATTTATTCTACTATTAAAGACTCGGTTATTTTCTAGGTCATTTTTAATCTCTTAATAAACTCCATTTGGTTTAAAGAAGCATGATTTTATAACCTGCAATTTAAAGCCTGTGTCCGTTAGAAACTCCCCAATGGGGAAATAGCACATTGAAAGCGTTTGCTGGACTAATAGCTGATCTCACCCCGCCCCTCCCATACATGCTGCGCCCTCTCCATCTTTCAATCAGAACCTGTATCTTTATTGCACTTAAATATATATTTCAATGCTTTTTATTATTCGTATGCAAGCCGCCCAGGGTCTCCCCATGGCAAGTGGGTGGCAAATAAAAGGAACAGGAGTGCCACCATTAAAGTGTTGGAATAGCACCCAGGAAAAAAAAATGTTAGCTATCCTCAATCTTGGAAGGTCATCGGCTGACTTTGGGGCAGTCCCCACCTCCACCCCAAGCCATAGCAAAGAGAATAAAAAC